AATTATTTTTTTAATTATATTATAATTATAATTAGGTTATTTCTCTATCTTATATTATAATAAATAATCACACATAAAAAAATACTAAAATTCTTTAATATAATTAAATTAAAAGTGAGTATTAAATTAAAAATGGGAACGGGGACGGGTACAGGTACGGGTACGGGTACGGGGCGGGTAAGTACATATCCGTACCCGTACCCATACCCGATTTAATATATCGGGTTTTACCCGTACCCGTACCCGTACCCGGTCAAACCGGGTATTCCCCGTCAAAGTCAGGACGGGTTCGGGTATTACCCGCGGGTACGGATATATTTTCCATCCCTAATTGTAAACATCCTAATACTATATTCAATTCTTGTAAGTAAAGAAAGATAATTTCAAAAATAGTGTTTAATTCATTCATAAAGTAAACTTTTTAAAAAAATTAAAACTCTCCCACAATTTTAATTCTAAAATATATTAAACACTTCCAATTCCAAACAAGAATTAAAACTGTAAATAAAAAATACATTTTATTAACCTTTTAGTTCTTATAATTTCATAAGCTTTAATTTTTAGTATTTACAATTAAAAATCTCACATTTTAGTTCCTATATATCATTTTTTTTCCCTTTTAGTCAATATACCTTCCTAAACTTACTTTATAATCTCTATAAAATTAAACAATAGAGATTAAAGAGAGAAAAAATAGTTTACTTAAGACTAAAATAGAATATTTCAACTATAAAAATAAAAAGATAAAACTTATAAATATAACAATTCGGAGGGTAATTAGGCCAAAAAGAAAAAAGAAATAGAGTCATCCAATATAATTAAACAAAATTCAAAAATAATAGCTAAAAAAATAAGGGACCATTGAATTACAAAAAGGCACCATCTAATTCACGTGGTTTATGTGCGAGGCATTTGAGTTTTAGGCCCAGAAAAACGAAACAGAGTAACAGGCCCATTTGAGTGGCCAGCTGTCCAAATTAGAGACACAAATGAGAAGCCGACGTTGATGACTTGACCGGTGGGGGTGAATAGAAATCAGAGGCGGTGGCATCTAGTAACTTTTCTTTTCCCTCTTATTTGGAAGAGCCACGTTTGGATTCCGATTCATACACTCCAATCCCTCCGAATTCAAAGCGCTTCTCTCTCTCTCTCTCGAACGCGCATCTCACTTCCATTTTTCTGCAATAAATAATAAAATAATAAACACAAAAAAAAAGAGGAAGAAAGAAACACCGCACCATGTTGAGGGTTGCAGCTAGGAGGCTTTCCTCTCTCTCCTCCTCGCCGTGCCGCGCCAACCACGCCGCTTCGGCATGCCTCTCTTCAAACGACGTCGTTCGTGGCCGCAGATCCGCTCCTTGCTCCGAACCAAACACCTTCCTTCTCCCTTTCAGAGGTTACGCTTTTACCATTTTGCCCCTCCCTTTTCCTTTCGGAATTCCTATTATTTTTAATTGAGTTATTGTTAGTTTCATTGCTGAATGTGTTGATCGGTTATGTTATGGACTGGGGTTGTGAAATTTGGTTTTTTGTTATGCTATGTATTGCCCTGTGACCTAAAATTACTTATTTTTTACATCATTCATGTAATTATTTTTGATTGGTTGGATGAAGGGTAAACATATTTAATGGGGTTAATATTAGTGGTGTGTATGTGACTGTTGAATGTGTGGTTGTGGTATCTTTTTCTGCAACTATCATAAGCAGTCTCTAGTGGGTATCAATGGAGAAACAGTTTATTTGTGAGTAAGGGATCAATTTGGGTCCAATAATCAAGTTGTTCAGGTTTGAATCCTGAACTTGGATATGGAGTAGGCTATATTGATCGGGAAATAACTAACTTGTGTGTTGTTCCTACCGTAAGTCTGCTGTCATCGTTAGGTGGGTTAAGGAGGATGGGTGTTTATAAACTATCCTTAGCCTCGACTCCTAAGCGATGTGGGACTTTTTTTAGGCATACCGGAACAAGCCCCCCAGTCGATGTTAAGGGATAAAAGTGGCCTAGGCCCTCCTTCTAGCGCCAAATGTTCTTACCGTAAGTCCGCTGTCATCGTTAGAGTCACCACATCCAAGGTATTGTCGCTTTGGCACTCGTTGGGCCGTCACGGTTTTGTCCTTTAAAAGGCGCCTTGGTGAGTTAAGGAAGAAGGGTGTTTATAAACTACCCTTTGCCTCGACTCTTAAGCGATGTGGGACTTTTTTAGGCAAACCGGAACATGTGTGTTCACAATTTCTACTAGAGATTAGTCACTGCTTCTGGTGGTTACCCAAAAAATGAAAAAGTTATCAATTTGGTCCTCTAAGACGGTGTCTAATTAGCCTCTGACATTAAAGGCACAGCAAATAAATTCTTCACTATTCATTTCGTTAGTCATTGTGGTCCCTCTTGTGGTCTAGACGATAGTAAATTGTAAAAGTTTGGGACTATAATGACAATTAGTTTGCATGTCGATGACTAAAATGACAAAGTTATAGAAGTTTGAGGCAATAGTGAAAGTGGTGGATTTATTTGCTATTTTTTGAATGCATGAACTATTATGATAACGTCCTACAAACTCGTGGATCGAATGGTAGTACTCATTTATTTGTTGAATAATTATGTTATTCATTTGTGAGCCCCCTCTACTCTGATGGACCAATTTGTGTGTAGTATATATACTATAAATGTAAAATTGTACGAGATAGAAGTTGCATATTGCTTAGTTTTGTAGCTTTTTACTGTGCCTATGCCCAATCTTTGGAAAAGAGAAATGATAGTAATATCAATCTTTAATACTCTTTCAAACACGCCGAGGGAAATTTTATAAGTGTTTATGGTACTATTCTCTAATAAAAAATGGAATTTTTTTCTAATTAAAATTAAAGTTTCACCTTGTCAACTCATATTAAAGGTCAACATTTGAAGTCAGTGTTGAATACCAAGGTGAATCTCCATTTTTTAAGTAACACCAAAAGTACATAAAAAATTGCACCTAAATTTTTTCCTCTTTATTATTTTCCCGAAATTTATTGGAAATCATGCAATGTTGTAGGTCTTACTACTTATTTAATGAGTTTCACTCACGAATTTGTAGTTTTCATTAAATTTTAACCGGTAGTAGAGAATCTATTAAAAAAATATGTTAGTGTCTTGCTAGTACTACTTTATTTTGGAAAATGGATTCTGCAATTAGGTTGAGGCATTTCCATAATTTCCAGTAACTGATGCTGTAATTTTTTCTTTCAAGTTTCAACTAAAGGATCTCTAGTAATTGATGTAACTTGATATTGTCTAGGCTTTGCTACTGAATCACTAATCCACTCAAAAGAAAACAGCATTATTCCTGAGATTCCAGCAACTGTTACTGCTGTTAAGAACCCTACCTCTAAGATTGTTTATGATGAGCACAACCATGAACGATTTCCCCCAGGTGATCCAAACAAGAGGGCATTTGCCTACTTTGTCCTTACCGGTGGAAGGTTCATTTATGCCTCTCTGGTCCGTCTCCTTGTCCTCAAGTTTGTGCTTAGCATGTCTGCCAGTAAGGATGTTCTTGCTCTGGCCTCACTTGAGGTTGATCTCTCCAGCATTGAGCCCGGCACTACAGTGACTGTTAAGTGGCGTGGAAAGCCGGTGTTCATAAGGCGCCGAACTGAGGATGATATCAAGCTGGCAAACAGTGTTGATGTTGGATCTCTTCGTGATCCCCAACAGGATGCAGATAGAGTGAAGGACCCAGAATGGCTCATTGTGATTGGAGTTTGCACACATTTGGGTTGCATTCCATTGCCAAATGCTGGTGACTTTGGTGGATGGTTTTGCCCATGCCATGGCTCACATTATGATATTTCTGGAAGAATTAGGAAGGGGCCAGCACCATACAATCTAGAGGTTCCTACCTATACCTTCTTGGAGGAAAACAAGTTGATGATTGGTTGAAATTGATGGTTCTGCATAATAGCGGGATGAGTTTACAATTTTTTTTTTATAATTTATTTGGATAATGTTACAATGTGCCTTTTTGGACGTCTTTTACTTCAGGTTCTTGCTGGGTATGTTTAGCAAGTGGTTTATGTAACTTGGAAATTGTAACTGATACCTTTTGGCGAGACTTATATCAATAATCGTCTGGTTTTTGCTTAGCATAATTGTGATGACTTGAGGAACATTGAATTTTGCATCATGTATAACATTTTCAAATTTGCTTGGAGCTGCCATAAGTAACCTGGTTCCTTCAACGGGGAACAGAATCTGTGTAGTTGGAATTTTTAGTTTTACACATTTATGCAGTTAGCAAATAGAAATGTTGATTGGATGGCTTAGATTTTGAATGTGTTAAGTTTAATTTGTTGAGATAAAATATAAACAGTTCCATCTTCATCTAATGATTCATTTCAATGATTGCATGAAAAATCTAGCTGCAAGAAATTTGGATCCTCCTTTGAAAACAGGAAAGGGATTTCGTCGTGGGATGGAAATTGATTTTTCTTCTAATATATGTTTGGTTACAAGGGTTTTCAGACACAATAAATTTGTCTATTCTTTATATAATTTTGGTTATTAGCTTTTCTCATACAACGTAAAAAAAATTCTCAATATTCTTTAGCATTATGATTCTACAGCATGATGCTCATTCCTTCCTTTAACATAAAAGGTTATCTTTCAAAGACGCCTTTAACATACACCATGCCTTTTTCACTGAACTTGAGATCCTTCCTCATTTGCTCGACCTGTTGATCATCACCTTGGACAATGATCTCTGTTAAGGTTCCATCATCTGCAACTATCATTTTCACTTTAATTTGCTCCTTTCTGGATGCTCGAGTCCAGTAATAAACGCCTCTGCGTTAATCCCCCATGTATGAGTATCAAAATAGCAATACAATAATAATAATGATTTGTTTAGATAAATTTTTCCAAATTACTTGTGAGGAAAAAAAAAGGAAATTAAATTTCTCTATAAGCTAAAATTAATTCATATACAAGTTAAAAATTATATTTTAGAGAAGCTAATAAGAGAAAGTTTAACTTATAAAGATTTTTTTTTTTTTCTCAAATAGAAGTGTGCTTCTGAATAAAACACAACCCAATAACCATATTAATAAGGAAAATAAAGGGTAAGTTTTCAGTGTCATCACTTACGCCAATGGACTTAAGATGGTGATCCAAAACCAGTTGTTGCCAACATCTGGTACGGTTATGGTAAGCACAAGGGCTACGCTTGCCAAGCTAATGCAAGTGCAAAAAGTTAATAGTGCCGCTTGACCCCTGCTTGGAACCATCATTCCTTCAAACCTGCAAGGGAAAATAGCTACTAGTTTCAACTAAATTAGTGATGAAAAAAATAAACGGGGAAGAGGGTTTAAACATTTCAGCTTGTTCACAAGAAAGCATTTGTAAGGAAGACATGGGTATTGTACCCCGACCGAGTATTCAGATTATATAAAAGAAATGCAGTGAAATCTCAGAAAAAAGAAGGAAAGAAAGAAAATTTGTATCTACAAATGTCTTCAAGAAATTTGATAACAAAACCCATGGTCCTTAAAAATGCAAAAAATTCACCATAGTTCCTATGTACCACAAATGTCGGTTTCTTTTTTCGACTACTAATGTATCTGTCACTTAAATGACTAATACTTTGAATTTAATTAGAATGTTCCATCAGTATAACCATCCAATCGCTAATCGTTTTAAGTTTCTCGACTTTTACAATAATAAATGAAAATCCTAAAAGTCAACTCTAAAATGATTTTTTAATGTGAATTTTTTATTGTACAATTGAACTCTCATCCTATTATTATAAACTAACATGGATGCTTAAGTTTCCCCAAGACAAATTTGAGGCTTCACTTAAAAATAACACCGATAAGCATACTCATAATTCATGTGAGAAGCTTTGATAAAATGACTGCAATTTCCAAATGAAGTTGTCCAATTTCCCCCTCTTCTTTTCATGAACGGTTAAACGATACATTTTGCTTCCTAACTATGGATGGAAAGAAAGGTGCCAAGAAAAAATCTAGCGCAAGCAAGAACAATCACAAAACAAGAATGAGACAGCAACATACGTGATTGTCTCTCCTCTGTCAGTCACTGCAAAGTTGTTACGAGTGAAGAAAGACAGAATCTCCCCAGCAACCTGATTCGGTGCCTTCTTTTCACCTTCACCTATAAATGTCTTCTGCACAATCTATTTCCCCAACCACCAAACCGCACCAGAACAGTCAAAGCAACAGAAAAAACCCAACAATAAGAAAAACAAAAATGAGTGCCACTATCAAAATACTCTAACAACATACTTTCTATCAATTTCATCCTTAAGGTACTACTCTCCCCTAAACAGTAAATAGTCACTAAAATAAGAAAATTAAACAAGCAATTATTTAAATATTAGAAAACATAACGAGTAATCCTCTAAGTATCAAAACATTCACCAAATTGGTTCTTAGAACTTTAGTAAAGATTTATCATAAAATAAATCGATGAATTCAATCCCTGGAGAATAATTACCTATACAATTTTCGAACAATAATATTTGGGCACTCATTAATCATAAACACTCCACCAACACTTATCATTTCTCTCAATCCTCTTACTATCACGTTATATCTATATATTTTTTTACTTTTTCTTTTATCTTTCTGGATATCAACTAGCATATAAGGTGCCCATAAAGCATTTCTCATCATTTTACCAATCTAGGACTAATTCACCGAGTAAATTGATGGTTTATTCACAAAGGGTGTTTTAGCAAGAAACGAAGATGTAAATTAAATTACCTTAGATTTGACAGAACGTTTAATGAGAGACCAAAGTCCAGGCACAGATATAACAAAGAGACCAAGAGAAGTGTAATAACTAGCCAAAGAGTAACCCGCAGTCTCTGCGAGCAACACGAGGTGATAGGGGTTTTGGCGTTGTTGGTGGATGATGTACTCACCAACATCCGAAGACCAAACCAAAGGGTCGTGCAGTGACACACGAGCCACATGTTTCTTGGGCTTCAGTAGCGGCTGGGGGGGGGGGGCTCTGGGTGCGGGGTTCGGG